GAAATAAAAGAGGCAGTGAGAAAGACAGCACTTAGTGGGAAGATAACTCAGGACATACAGCTGCGGTTACACCTACTCGACCCCATGATGCAATACTGGCACAATGTGATAATACCGTGGCTATGACTTGTGCCGTAAACGAAGCACACAGTATATCCACATATGTATGGAGCTTAGCAACAGCAGCTGTTAGGGTAAGTGTGGTTTGGCAGTAGTGCTGCGTTCCCTAATAACCCCTTCTTAGAACCAACTCTATGGTTGGGCTGGCAGAGAGCGATGTGTCTGGGACACACAGCAGAAACACACTGTGGGTATGGGCATATGTGTGTATGTGTCAGTGATCAGCGGTCAGAAGAGTTGCCCTTCATCTACGTAAATTGGATTTAATAGGTCGGATAAGGTTAGGGTTTGGTTTGATTTTTGTATGTAGGCTGAAACTAAGATCTAATGAAATAAAGGGGCACATAGATACAGAGAGAGAGAGAAACAAATAGGATGGTATGAGGGTACAAGGCATGATAAGAATGAGGGGGGCAGAAAGGGAGATCTAGATAAATGATCTGTTGAGGGACATACAGCCCGAGACTGTCTGTCATCAGCCCTCAAGTCACCCTTAGTCTCTGTATACACTGTGTACATTCATTTCCACAGACTGCATATCAGTATCACTGTACATTCAGTCTCATGCTCCCACTCTCTTCCTCTCCTCTCTGCTGATATACATTTCTCTCCTCTCAGGACCCAAACCTAAATAATGGCCACCCTTAACTCAGTTTGACTTTTCCAAAACCAGATGCACTGCTGTTCAGTTTTACAGGTTTTTCACAAATTTAAAAAACTGCTACATAAAACAATCGACCTTTATGTCACAAAGACGCACTGACTTTATAGTCAGAGCAAAATGGTGTGTTGGCACCTCAACAGGGTATTCAAAACTGTGAACCAATGGGATATTCACTGTGCAAATGACAACGGCTGAGTTTTTGTTTTGGTTTATTGGCTCATGTTTTTGTTTACACCTTTTTATGCACAATGAAGTAACAGCACAAAAATAGAAATATAACATCATAACTTTAAAGTCCTCCTCCACTCAAAAAACTGAGCATAGCGTTCAGGCAGGACACGACGTCAAGCTCAGCTCACATCCCAGCTACATCAGCTGATCTTTAACAGCCCAATCAAATTACTGATCAGCTGATTGATGGAAGGGAGTCAGCTGATAGATCACATGATTCCTTTCTATGCAACCAATTGGCGAATCTCATTCAGGGCGCCCTATTTAAACTGCTTTGGCCTGCCTACTGTCGCTGCTTCCTCTGCAAGCTGCTTTGCAACCTGCCTCCACCCCAGCTCCTTCTTTTCATGTTGTGTCTGCCTTATCATTGTCATTTCTGTTTGTCACTGATGCTGCTCTGTTCTGTTCCTGGGGGTCTTTGCTGCTGCTCTCCCTGCCTGAGGCTTTCCATGTAGACACATGGAAGGGCAGGGAAGGTTGCTCTCCCTGCCTCAGGCTTTCCTCGCCTGCACATGGAAGGGCAGAGAGGTTTTCTCTTTCCGCCTCGGGCTTTACACAAAGGCATGTGGAAGAGTCTTTCTGCGTAGGCCTAGGAAAGGCAGAGTGGCCCCAGAACAGAGCCATATTGCCAAATAAAATACTGCAAATTGAAATAAAGTTTTCTTTGACTAAAGTGTTCCTGACTGAAATGTGTTTTTCTTACATTGGTGCCCCCTAAAATGTCTGACCTTGCCTACAGTGACTTGTATCAGAGTCCTGCACGGGTCCAGTTTTCAAGATCCGCCCCGACCCGACCCGGCGACGTACAAACCCGCACCCGAACCGCAAACCCGCGCAACAGGCCAATTAGTACCGCAACCCGGTCTGACCTGTTGAAACACGACACGCAGCCCGACCCATAACCCTGATTTAAAGTAATCATTTTGGGTCATATTGGCTGAATATTGAACAGTATATCGCCACAGTTAAGGTGCCAGTGAGTAAACAACGACCTGAATGAAGCAGCTCTCACAGTAAAAACCTGACTTCAGCTCCATCATCAACCCTCTGTACTCTTCTCCCATACGAGTGTAAAAGCACTCGTTTGTTAGGTTTAATGCTTTTAAACTTTTAATCTATGTAAAGGAACTTTACATGTATAGCCTAATAATAGACTTACTTTCTGTCCAGAGCGACGTTCAGCAGTTACGAGCTGTCACGTGTTTTTAGAATCCATCGAGGAGAGAAGTAATCCATCAGGGAAACACTTCAGAAACATTATAAAGTGATAGTTGTACGTTTTATCCACTTATTTCTCAAATACCTAAATAATTATTTACTGTTTTGGAAGTGGCGCTTGTTAGACAGTGGCAGCCATGTTGATTCTGTCGTCCAATCACAAATTGTGTTATCAGATGGTGAAACGCGTGTAAACAGCTGAACCAATGACCGTTGCGAAATAGCGGAGGCGATCCTCAGAGAGTAAATAATGACCAAGATAGTTATCTGTAGTTTACCGAACTAATGACTGATGTGTTTATCTAAAACCCGCGATCCGACCCGCACGTTATTTTTTCCACCCAGATCCGAACCCGGGAAAAATTTTTTTTTTTCAAAAACCACCCGCAAATCAGCTGTTTTTGCGGGTACCCAACCCAGTGCAGGACTCTGACTTGTATCTATGCAGAGTTTGTCACTAGAGGTGCTTCACATTTCTCTGCTAAAGGGGGCAATGTCTGTGCACTTTCCTTAAACCTGAGATTTAAAGGTAGCCTACACTAGGCAAGCTAGATTAGGTACGTAACTAATACGAAAATCAATCACTGTCTAATATGGAAAGCACATCGTGATGGGGGAACAGACTTTGGACAACACTCTAAAAGACACCTGAAATCTCCAGCGAAGTGCTGACTTTTTAGTAGAGAGCGTGAGTTAGCATTAGCACAGTGGAAGTTTTGACAGCAAACATGGTAGAATGTGCAGTTTTTGGATGTAAACTGTTCCCTGAAACTTCCTTCCTTTATCTGCCAAAAATCCTATCATAGCAGATATTGTTGTACGTTTCAAAAACAGTAACACGGTGTCAGCCATCTCCAGTTACAAGCTAACAAACACCGTACATAAAAGACTACACATCTGCTAGTTGCCAATTTTGGTGCACAACAGAACTCATGAGTCCGGGTCTGACTGAGGCTCAAACACGTATGCCTGAATCTCTCCGATGTTTCCTCTGACTCTAGCGCTAGCCATCTTAATAAGCACTGCTTTTTTCACCGGTCAACAAATCACAAGCAGCGCTGGAGAAACTGGAAAGCAAATTATTAATTATAACTATTATGTCGGAAAACCATGTCAAGCAAAATATTGGTATTCGTATTTTTACATACTTTTAAATGTGTCTGGAGAAGGACTTTAATTATTATTTCACTTTTAACCGAAAATCACTAACTGGAGGTGGAATTTTTAGGCATAACTGGACCCTAATGTGGAAATACCTATAAATATAAAAGCATACTAAGTCATATTATCCACTTACACTTCATGGTCTTAAGCAGACCATACAAACATTTATTTTATCAGCACCCACAACTGCACCAGCACTTACTCACACTCCTGCCAACGTCTTGAAACCTCAAACCATATAACTGTCATTGTGATACTGCAGTAAAGGTCAGAGTGAGCTGCTGAGACGATTATAGTTTAGGTACTGCCAACTTGTCAGGGAATAAGAAAACTTTCACTGACCAACATCAACATTTATTTCCATCTATCATCCCTTTTTCAGCACGATTTCATTGCACATAATTTTTTTGTGCTGCAGAATATTTTTGTTCTAATTTGTTATTTCAGATGTGACAGCGTCCATGTATCAGAATTCAAGATTGCATATACAGAGCTGATTTTGTATAATTTTTGCTCGTCTTTTTCTTTTTTCTCGCTTTCATTTTCTATTTCTGTCCTCTGTCTGTCATTTATTTTGTCTCTCAGTTACCCAGATAGCGTCTTCCATAATCTTGAGTCCGTGCACGCACTCCCAGACACAAACACACACACAAACACACACACACACACACACACACACACACACACACACACACAACTGTGGTAAGAATTCACATGGCTTCAGTTAGTGGGAAAAGTATCACATCCAAAGTAATAACACAAACATGGCAACCCAAAGCGGCCCCAAGGGGGATTGGCACAGGACCTGGCAAGCCATTCATCATCAGTCTCATGTTGCCAGGAGTCTGTACACTGCCAGGTCTAGTGATTTGTATTTGTGCGTGTGAATGTACTGAATGTGTGTATGCGGGTGTGGTGCGTGTACGCTTTGCTGTATTTCGTGTGTGCCAGTGAGGCTGCACTCCCCAAGCAGAACGGAACAGAAGCTTGAGCTAGGGATTATCAGTTTCAGGATCCTACTTTAGTTAAAGTGATGAGGGAAACATATTTGTGTGAATTTTAATGTGTGAATTAAGAGCAGACTGGGAGGGCAACAAGAGGTAATATTAGGAGTAGACGCTGAAAGGCAAAGAAACCAAGGGACCATCAAGTTACTTGTTCACGCAGAGGGACTGAAGCCAAGATTCGCGTGCGCCAGAAACTTTGATTGCGGCACTTTCACTACAGACACTCAAAAGTGAAGTGGAATGCACAGAGAGTGAGAAAAGGTTTCCTGTGTGGTCGATGCATGACAGATGGCATATGATTCAGTTGGGCTATCATCACTGTGGTGGTGGTGGCGAGGTGGAGAAAAGATGGACAGGAGGATGAGAGAGAGAGTGAGGAAGGAAGAAAGGAAGGACAGAAGGGAATCAGTTGAATCTTTTTAATCACTTATCGGCCATGTGGCATCGCTGGGATGCCATTCTGCAGCTGCACTGTGATGAATGTGTGTGCAGATAAAAAAGGGTATGTGCTCTTATCACATAATAGATGATACTTGAACGTGTGTTGGAGTAGACTTACCATCACGTGTTTTAAAGTGTGTGTGTTCTGGTCTTACCCTGGAGATGGTGAGGGGCATATTGAAGTCCTTCCCTCCCTGCAGCCTGAAGCCCCAGGGGGCAGGGCCTAACAGAGTGGCGCTGTAGTTGCTGCTCATGGTCTCCTTGATGATGTCAAACGTGTTCGGCGCTAATGTTGCAGTCGAGCGATGATGCTGACGGCTGGCAAATAGGTTGCAGATTGGGTGATAGTAGTGATGTCACTGGGTTTTGATGATAAGAACGTGGCTGTGGCTCCTTTAGGATGTTGTTCCAAGATCTGAGGGAAGACATGAACGTAAAGCACACATTAGATTTGTTATTGTATGGTTATATAAGACAAAGGAGGCGAGAAGAAACACTTGGTGATGGATGACAGGAGAGGTCAAGAGGATGGTGCAGTGGGAGGAGGCGAGAAGCAAAAATGGAAAGGAAATTGAAAACATATATTATCCCCAAAACAAGGTAGTTACACACTTTCAGTACACAAAAAAACAGGTTTTCAATATGAATTTTCATGGTTACAAAATTAAAAAAAATATTAAAATTGAATTATGCAATTGGCCGCACACTCAGAAGCAGATAAAATATAAACACATACAAATGCAAATGATACTAAAGTATGCTGCAGCAGTTCAGTAGCATTTAAGACTTACAATACCCCCAGGAAACCCTCACCAGGGGTCAATTACACAGCTAATATTAATATAATTGCATCCTACTATTTAGTAGCATAATATTGTTAATGGAAAGGCTGTACCTCCTTAATGGAAATTCCAGAGAGGGAAATAATTCCTTCACAAGCAGGTAGACAATGTAATCCCTAGTTTCCCCTGGACTATCCCCTTCCCAGCAAACACACTGTATGTGTGTGAGAGAGGTGGAGAGGGATGCAATGCTCTTATATACCAGCTAATGACAGAGGGGAGGGAAAAGGTGGAGGAGGGGAGAGGAGGGAGGCGAGAGGGAGAACGGGTAGAGGTTAGGTTGGGAGGAGAGAGGGAGGGGAAAGAGGAGGGGTATCACCCATGGGTGGAGTGAGTGGGACACAGAAGAGGAGGAGAAATGAGAGGAGATGATATGAGGGGGGAGATTAGGGGATGGGAGGAGACAACACTCAGTAAAAAAAAAATGAGGAGGGGGAGATAGGAAAAGGGGGGTCGTGGGGGGGATTAAGGAGAAGAGTGTGGGAGCACTGCACACAGAGAAAATGACATGGGGAGAGAGAGAGAGAGGGGCAGAGGAGAGGGGACAGTTTATCTTTCATTCGGATATTTTGGGAACATTGACTCAGTGCTGCAGGCTGCTTCGTTTAAGGTGGAACCAGCCGTAACCAGATCATGACCCAAGAGCACATCCCAAAGGCTTTGATTAAAATGCCTTTGAAAGGTTACCTTTATATGATACGCTGGGGTGATGGTGATTGGATACAACCTCAGGATCAACATGTTAAACTCTTGTAACACAGTTGTTTCACAATGCCCCAACTATAAAACAGACTCTTCAAGAGAAGCATTTTGGAAAATCAGAGACAGGTTGAGATTTTTCTTCAGCTGATGTCAACTGACTTTCACAACTATTTCAATTTACCATTAAGTTGACTCTGTCACCTATTTTTTAAATGCTGCTTTCTATCCCATAGTTCCTTTGTCCTAAACTAATCAGCTTTAGCTACTGGATACGGGACAGTTCACCCTCAAATCAAAAATCCAGATTTTTCCTTTCATCTGTAGTGCTACTTATCAATCTAAAATTGTTTTGGTGTGAGTTGCCAAGTTTGACAGATATTGGCCGTAGAGATGTCAGCCTTCTCTCCAATATAATGGAACTAGATGGCACTTGGCTTGTGGTGCTCAAAGCACCAAAAATATATTTGATAAACTCAACAGCAATGTCTCTTTCCAGAAATCATGACCCAGTTACTCAAGATAATCCACAGACCTTGTTGTGAGCAGTTTCATATTCAGTAGGAATTATTTCCTATTTACCAAACAGCACTCACCAACCGTGTCATGCAGGAAGAAGCATGCATCTACTCATCGATGAAAGACTCATGCTCCTGACCAACACAGTCTCACTCCAAAGTTGTCGAAATCCAGCACTTGGGCAATGTCTTTGAAAGGTTTGTCTGTGTTGGCATCAGACACTGACAAAAAAGCTGTCCTTTAATGTCAGCATGACACATGGCCAGTCTCCGCTAAACTATAAAGGCACTCGGCGGCGTCAGGGGGAAACGCAGCGGGACAAGGACGAAAATTAAGGTGGTGAAAGTCCGAGAAGGGTGGGTGGGTCCAACAAACACTGACCTTCACCCAGGAGAGCTTTGTTTGCGTCCCGCCAGATTATAAAGCCAAACCCTGTTCTTTTTCCCTAAACCTAAACATGTGCGTTAGTTGTTGAAGGAAAAAACTTAAATTCTTGTTGTACTGACGTAGTGCTTTTATTTTGAAAGAGACTGTATGTAAACAGTAAATTTCCTGTGAAAACAGAAGTGTATTTTGAAAGAATACAATGCATGTAACAGACAGAACTTGACACGGTGTCCCAGAACGTCAACAACCAACACACTTGTGGTACCTTTCAAGTCATATCTGGACGCGGAAGGTCCATGACCAAATGTCGATATATGACAAGGTCGGAGTGATAATGTGTTGTCTTGACAGTGCCAGACCTAAACAATAATGGCGTCCTCATCGGCAGAGCTGTACTGTTAGCTAGCTGAGCAGTGTTAGGTGAGCAAGCACTAGATGCACTAGCACTAGTATGCTTCCTTCTGTGCAGTGATACAGCAGCTGATGGGTGTAGTTCAGAAGAAAAAGAAAAATTTCTAAATGAAACTACTCAAAACAGTTTCTGTGGATTATCTTGAGTAACTGGGTCATGATTCCTGGAAAGAGACATTGCTAGTGAGTTTTTCAAATGTTTTTTTGGTGCTTTGAGCACCACAAGCCAAGTGACATCTTACTGCATTTTATTTGAGAGAAGGCAGACATCTCTACGGCCGATATCTCTTACACTCGGCAGCTCACACCAAAACAGTCTGGATTGATAAAAGCACGACAGATAAGAAGAAAAATATGTATTTTTGATATGGGGGTTGAACGGTCTCTTTAAAAATCAAATTCCAAAGCACAACCAATCAAGCAATTAGCTAATCTCTGCCTCACCTCTCGACATTTTGGTACAGATATGTAAACAATCCAGTGCCTAAGTCCAGCACCATCGTGTCCATCTCATTAGGTTTTCTCATTATTTATGTCCAGACAGCTGGCAGTTCTTCTCTTTCTGCACTTTTGCCCTGGCTTCAGTCCATTCTCCCTTTCCTAGCCCAGACAGATCAATATTGACTTTGTATTTAGACTGATATAGTAGTGGCTCAATTAAACTCTCATCCCATTCCTTTCTTGGCCCTGACCACAAACACACGGCCACACGGACAGACAGTACATCGTGCCAAGTCACAGCTCTGCACTCTGTTCACACAACTGCTAGTTAAAGCAGCCTGATGAGTTCAGTCAAAATAAGTTCTTAAGAAATATCACAGAGGAAATGAACAGCTTGAGAAAGGACTTGGACATGAGCTTAGAGGAGACGGCTAGACAGCGACTGGATGATCTTCAAGAGATGAGAGCGATAAAGAAAGTGCACACACGTAGAACTAAGAGATAAGAGGGGGAAGGAAGCAGGCTAACATTGCAGGCTCACATTTAACCTGCCGAACATCATGACGGATGCACAACATGAGAAGATTAAATACACAGTCATACACACATAAACACAGGATGCTCTTCATTAACCTGCTCATGTATGTTCCCACAGTGAGTCTAACACAGGCAATGCACTCTTCTCCAGCACAGCCAGGTTTAACAATAGCACAGCAAGTCCTGGGTGGAACAGACACGGTAGTCATTAACCCTGTTTCCGCTGCAGAGCTGAGGGGGTCTTGATGGGGTTGACTCAAATTTTACAGCAAATGTAATTACAAAAGGCACAGTGTTTATTCAGAGCTTTAACACAGATGGTTGCTCATGCCCGTTGTAAAAAGGACTGGCCAACATGGATAATAAGCGAGCCCTTCAGCCTTCTTTGATGCTATGGCGAACACCGTGGGATCGAAGCTTTCTCAGACCTGCCCGCCACTGCAGAAGGCAGGCTAATGCCAGCGATCTCTGCTGTTAAATTAATTAAAAACACACCGCTGATTAACCACAACAACAGTTACCATAACATCCTTTTCTTTCCTTTCTAGATAAGATCCCACATTTAACACTACACGCCTATGGACAGGGGTATCCAATGTAAACAGAGAACAACAGGAAGTCAGGTGTGGAGGCGCAGAGTAAGAGAGATAGAAAAGTTTTTTTGCAACTAAAACGCTTTGTTAGGAAACAATTGAAGTTAAAGAAACCCAACATGGGCTGCTCAAACACACTGACCTTCACATGCTTTTACTTTTGGCTGTGCAGTAAGAACATTTCTTTGCCCCCTACTTTGGCAATGAATTTAAACTTTTACAACGTTTCAAGGGGTGACAGCGAGCTAGATAAACAAAAGTGCACCATGTGAGCAGATTGTCTCCACAGACACACCCCTATACCCCTAACCGTTGTTATTCTTTTGAGGGCTTGATTATGCAAAATATCCACTATGGTAATTACTAGGGCTGCCCCCCAATAGTCGACCAAATGATAGTCGACCGAAAAGGTCATTAGTCGGCAAGATTTCATTGGTCGCTTAGTCGCAGAAAAAACAAACAAACTTGACTCTATTTGGAGCTGCGCCTCTCAGGTAAATAGGCTATACAAGGCTTGTTAAGGCTGCTTAGCAACCTCAGACGCAACCTGCCGCCATGCCCTTGAAAGCTGGCACAGATAAGGCACAAAAGTAGCGTTCAGAGCCCGACCTCACTTTTACCAGGCAGTTAAAAAAGCAGCCCCTAATTTCCAGGGCTGGTACCTGCGGTTATTCCACAGGCTAGTTAATAACATGTCGGGCAGGAAATCCAAAGTGTGGGATCATTTTGAGAAGGTGAAGGATGAACCCAAGGTGATATGTAAACTCATCTTCATTGGTCGACTACAAACATGACGTATCATCTGAAACATGGAAGCAGCTACATGCCCATTAGCCACTTAGCACAATCATTACTGCTTTGCCAACAGCGTCATTAACAGGCGGCTCGCTCAGTGTGACGTGCACTTGTAGATAAAACATAGGCCTATATTAATGAAGGTTCATTAGTACGGTTTTGTATTTCTCTGTAATGTAGCACAGTGTTAACAATGTTACTGATACTATTCTTTCTCACACCTTCAACTCAAACCATTGTGTTGCACCGCCCAAAATATATAATTTATTAATTAATTTAATATCATAAACATGCCGGAAACAAATCGATTAATGGCCCTAAATGACGACTACTGGTCGACTAGGAAAATTCTTGCTCGTGAACAGCCCTAGTAATAACATTCAGCTGCTTTACAGTCACTATAAGGACTAAAAGAGGATTTAGAGCTAATTTGACCTGTTTAAATCCACTTTAAACAAAATGTTTCATGGTTGCGAACCCTGTGTACTATAATGTAGATGATGCTCTCTCACACAGTCACATATATTTAAAGACAACTGCACTTTTATCTTTAAAGTGTATTTCAAGAGTGAATAAAGGATGAAAAGATCCTGTAAAGACAGGTTTGGAAAGTTCTCCCTATGATAAAAAATACAAATTAGACAACCTTTTAAGTAATGACCAAAAACTTGATTCAATAGAAGTGTAGAATAATAAACGAATAAATAACTGGAAACAGCACTTTAATGTCTCAAGTCCACGTGACAAGAGCACTGGTTTTAGTCCCATGAAGATAGAATTTCTA